GGGGTGGGGGGGAAGCGGGAGGGAGAAGGTGTCTCTGTGTCCAGGAGCTTCTCCCTCAGCCCTGCCCCTCCCTCTGGTGCTAGGCGCTGGTGGTTTATGCCCATAATCCTAGTTACTCTGCGGGCTGAGATCTGAGGATCACAGTTACAAGTAGCTCGGGCAGGGAAAAACAAAAATCTCTGAGAATCTTAGCTCCAATTAACCAGCAACAGGTAGGAAGTAGAAAGGGCCAGCCTTGAGTGAAAAAGTCCAGGGACAACACTCAGGCCCTGAGTACACACACACACACACACACACACACTCACACACACACACACACACACACACACACGCCCCTTCATTCCTCAGCCTTCCTAGGGTTCCAGCTTTAGTGATGATAGTATCTAGGAATGGGGAATGGGGTACTCACGAGCCCTGGGATGGCATGTAGAAGGAGGTAGGTTAGCTTTTCCTAACTCTGGGGCTTGCAACCTTCCTTCCCATAGCTCAGCCCTTAAGATAAATGGTCATTTACTACCTCTGAGCATGAGGCTGGCAAAGTGTTACACACTGTTCATACAGAGCCCTCCAAGAAGGACCCTCTAATGTAGGTGTAATGACTACCATCCCGAACAGAGCCAGGGTCCTGGGACCCCAGGCCTGCCAGGCCCCTGAAATTACCCCTTTAAAAATCCAAGCCTTAATTCCAGATTCCCAGAACCCAGTACTCTTACTCTCTCTCTCTCTCTCTGTCTCTCTCTCCCTCTCCCCCCCCCCCCCCCCCCCCCCCCCCCCCCCCCCCCCCCCCTTCCCCCCCCCCCTCTCTCTCTCGTCAGTTCTGGGGCTTGAAGTCAGGCCTGGGTACTATCCCTGAGCTTTTCTGCTCAAGACGAGTGCTCTAGCACTTTGAGCCACAGCTCCACTTCCAATTTTCTGTTGGTTAATTGGAAAGAAGAGTCTCATGGACTTCCCTGCCCTGGCTGGCTCTGAACCACTCAGATCTTAGCCTCCTGAGTAGCTAGGATTAAAGGCATAAGCCACTGGCACCCAGCTTCTTGCTCTTTTTTCTTTTTCTTCTTCCCTTCCTTCCTCCTCCCTTTATTTCTTTCTCTACCCTCCCTCCCTTCCTTCCTTCCTTCCTTCCTTCCTTCCTTCTTTTCTTTCCACTCAGGGCCCAGGTGCTACCCCTTAAGCTTTTGTGAACCACAACTTCACGTCTGGCTTTTTGGTGGTTGATTGGAGATAAGAGCCTCACAGACTTTCCTGCCTGGGCTGGCTTCAGACTTTGATCCTCTAATCTCAGCCTCCAGGGTATTTAGGATTACAGGGGTGAACTACTGGCACCTGGCTTACCCTCACTCTTGCTCTGAGGATACTTGGCCTATGGGAATGCCCACCTCTGCCAAGCCTCATGGTGATGGCCTTCCAGCTCCAAATGTCCCCAGGAGAATGGTGCTGAGCCTAAGGAAGGCTGTTGCCAGACCCCTCTCAGTGGCCCAAGCCAGTAGGTGACTGAGTCCCCTTCACCTCTTCCCACTGAGGACCCACTGTGGGTGGGCCGTGGCAGTGGCCTCTCCCTGCTGATCACCCTGAGGATGGAAGTCCACAGGGCCGGAGTGTTGAGCTCGGTGCCCACATTGCTCAGCCTGCCCTGAGTCTCTCTGCCGCCCCATCAGGGCTGCCCAGCTCAGGACTGGTGGGTGGCATGCCCCAGCTGGACCAGGCCAGAACTGGAGCGAGCCCCTGTCCTGCTCGGCAGAAGCAGAATGGAGCCAGTGTTTACGGGGCTGGCACACAATGGGCTCCCCCTTCACGGGGAGTGTTCTGGTTCATATTAATGGGTCCCCGTGCTGGCTGGAAGCCAGCAGCAGCCAAGAGACATCATTGTCCCAACCCTGAAGACTTGATATCCTTGGGGACAAGCTGGACAACCCAGGGAGAGACCTGGACTATGAGGCTTTTTTTTCTTCTCCTGAGCTCTCCAGCTTGTCAAGTGGGGTGAGGAGAGGGAGGGGGCAGAGGAGAGGGGTGTGACCCAACAGTGTTGGGGACTCTGACAGGTGACCATGGGTCAACATCAAAGGACTCTCCCTGGCAGAGTGGCTCCCTCCTGCTGAGATCCACAGGATTTTTTATAGTTTGAGACCAGTCCAAGCAAAGTCCTTGACACTCCATCTCCAAAATAACCAGCAAAAAAAGCAGAGCTGGAGGCCTGGCTCAAATGGTAGAGTGCCAGCCAAAAAAGCAAACAAAAAAAGAGTGTGAAGCCCTGAGTTCAAGCTTCAGTAATGATTTTTTTTTAAAGCTGTCTTTAAGTGCCAGGCATTGATTGGGTGGGTGAGCATACTGTATGGCCAGCAAGGTCTTTAGAAAAAGCATCATGACTGTTGGCCTCATTCAAAGAAGGGGCAAGGGCGGCGCCGGCAAACAAACAACTCCCACTCAAAGCCACCCAGATGGCAAACAGCACAACCCATTTTTTTTGGGGGGGGAGGGTCCGGTTGTAGGGCCTGAACTCTGGGCCTGGATGCTGTCCCTCAACTCTTCAGCTCAAGGCTAGCACTCTACCACTTGAGCCACAGCGCCACTTCCAGCTTTTTTTTTTCTGCTTATGTGGTGCTGAGGAATCGAACCCAGGGCCTCAGGCATGCAAGGCAAGCGCTCTACCACTGAGCCACCTTCCTAGCCCAAGCACAACCCATTTTGTACTGCACATGCATACGCTGCTCTGCTGGGCTTGGCCTGGATCTCCCCCAGACACCCCTGCTTATCTGGAGGTCTTTGAAGGAGAGAGGGGCTAGGCGCCAGTGGCTCATGTCTGTAATCCTAGCTACTCAAGAGGCTGAGGTCTGAGGACCACGGTTCAAAGCCAGCCCAGGCAGGAAAATCTGTGAGACTTTTATCTCCAATCAACCACCAGAAAATGGAAGTGGCTCTATGGCTCAAGGGGTAGAGCAGGTACTTTGAGCTGAAGAGTTAAGGGACAGCACCAGGCACAGAGTTCAAGCCCCACAACTGACAAAAGAAAAAAAAAAGGGCAACCACTCTACCAGTTGAGCCACAGTGCTACTTCCAGTTTGTGGTGGTTGATTGGAGATAAGTGTCTCACAGACTTTCCTGCCTGGGCTGGCTTTGAACTGGGATCCTCAGATCCCAGCCTCCTGAGTAGCTAGGATTACAGGCATGAGCCACTGGCGCCCAGCTAGAGCACTTGTTTTGAGTTGAAGAGCTGAGGGACAGTGTGCAGGCCCAGAGTTCAAGCTCCACGATGGATAAAAAATTAATAAGGAGAGAGGGGGACAAATCAGCTATCTCAGCTGAGGGATGAGACGAGGTGGGGAAGGTACCTGCTGGGGAACCCCAACGAGGCTGTGCTTTGGATGACGGTCCAGCCCCAGGGACCTTGGCCCAGGTTCCTCCGGTGTGCGCGTACCTTTCTCTGAATCACAGGATACCATTTCAACCTTGGATCCTCCAGCTCCACCCACCGCCCTGGCATTCCCGGAGAAGCCAGCCACAGTGCCAAAAGGGACCACTGTCAGGCCTATGCCACCAGGCATCCAGCCTGTACCTGCTGCCCCCCCACTGTGACCACCACAGCACCCGAGTCTTCAACTGTCTGCACAAGAAAACACCCCAGCCATCTCTGCACAGTGTGCCCTAACTCACGTCCAGTCTCATCTCACACCTTTAAAAATTGTTTTATTTTGTATCAGTCAGTACTGGGACTTGAACTCAAGGCCTGGGCACTGTCCCTTAGCTTTTTCGCTCAAGGCTGGCATTCTTTCATTTGAGCCACAGCTCTACTTCCAGGTTTTTGGTGGTTAATTGGAGAAAAGAGTCTCACGGACTTTCCTACCCAGGCTGGCTTCAGATTACAACCCTCAGCTCTCAGCCTCCTGAGTTGCTAGGACTACAAGGGTGAGCACTGGCCCCTGGCTATCATCTCATGCATCAATATCTTACCTCTCTTCTCTTCCTCCTCCCCCCCTTTCCTGCTTGAGCCACACTGGTCTTTCCTGTTATGCAATTGTACACAATCCCTCTCACCACAGCTCCACCTGGGTCTTTATACCTGCAGGTTTCTTCTATTACACCTGTAGACCAGACTAGCCTCAAATTCAAAATCCTCCTGCGTCAGTTTCCTGAGTGCTGGGATTATAGATGTGCACCGCCATGCCCAATTCAAGTACCATGTCTTAAGGGAGCCCTCCTCAGCCTCCAGGACTAGGTCACCTCACCCACTTACTTTCCTGGCACTTCATATTTTTGTTCTTGCTGCCCTCAGCTGCAAACCCTCACTTGTTTCAATTCTTTGATGTCCCACACTGGACTGTCACTAACAGAGGGAGGGAAGGCTCATTCCTATTCACAGTAGTCTCTAGCACCTTGATAAACACTTCTGATCTCATGTGCCGTGCCTTCCTGCATCACGGTGACATAATGAGCAAGAGAACAGCCACCGTAGGCTGGGAATGTGGCTTGGTGGTAGAGTGCTTGCCTAGCATGCATGAGGCCCCAGGTTTGATTCCTCAGTAATACATACACAGAAAAAGCCAGAAGTGGTGCAGTGGCACAAGTGGCAGGGTGCTAGCCTTGAGCAAAATAGTTCAGGGATAATGCCCAGGCCCTGAGTTCAAGCCCCAGGACTGGCACAGAGAGACAAAGAGACAGAGAGAGACACACAGAGGGAAAACAGCATTGCAGGATTAAGCAAACACAAACATCTTGAAGATGCTCTGATCATAAGGAAATGCATGCCCAGGGAGCAGCAGAGAAGCCATGGGTACCTGGCACCTAGGCCAGGGCTCCTCTCAGCCTTCCTTGGACCAATCTAAGAAATCTAAGAAGGCAGAAGAGCCCTTGGCTTCCTCAACACTGCCCGCAATGGCCCAGCCCAGAGTTCAGGGAACAGAGAGAGGCAGTACCCTGAGCCAAGGGCCCTTTCTGCCCCTAGCAGGTGCACCAACCATCTGAGCAGATCTCCCCTCCTGCAGCTCCTGGCTGTGAGCCCCGCATACCTGCTCATCCACCTTGTGGGCAATGAGGGTGGCTCCTTCCTCCAGCTCCGCCACACTGATGGGTCGAACCCTGAGAGCCACCTGGGGATGGGTGGGGGGGAGAGACCAGGGGCCTGGGGTTAGATAGATGTCCCAGACTAGGCCACACAGGGAAGGATGAGCGGGCCTCAGGATTCTCTTCCCAAAGCAAGCCTCTGGATTCTCCTTGGGACCACTTGTCCCAAGGAAAACTCTGAAAGTCAAGTTCACTGTCCGGGTCAGAGGGCAGCAGGTTCACAAGCTGTCAGGCTGTGTCTGAGCCCAAGTTGCAGAGAAAGCCTCAAGGGAGGGAACTGTGCCCAGGCTGCATCAAGTCACACACCCGAATTAAACACCTGGAGCTCCCTTGGGCTTGACCCTGGAGCCTTCCCAGGCTGCTGGCGCCTCTGTGGATGCTTGGGGATGATGGGGGTTAGGATTAGGATAGCATGATGGTCTTCCCCCTCACACCAATGACCTGTGACCACATCCTGATTGCTCCCAAGGGGAATGGCACCATCTCGACTCTCTAGCCAATAAAAGACAATAGGTCTTCATCAAGTGCATGGGTCTCTCAAAGAATGGCGTGGTGGATGGGGTTGTGCTGCTCCAAGAGAAACAGCTGCTGGTGTGGGGGTGGAACTAAGGAGCCCTCTCCTCACTTTAGAGGCAGCTGCACTGCCTAGCAGATCATATTTATCAGCCTCCCGCGAGGACTCCAATGGGGAGAGGAGGGGGAAAGAAAGGGAGAAGGAAAGGAGGGAAGGGGAGAGGAGGGGGCCAAGGCCCTGATCTGTGCCTGGCCAGTGCACAGTGCACAGGGCTGTTTCAAACAAACCCTTTTCCACTGCTAGAGAGGATGCTTCAGAGCCTGGATCTTGCCTGTGGCTCCCGCCAAAGCTTCCCTTTGCAGGAGTTAAGGCTGCCCTGCATAAGTGGGGTATCAGGGATAACATTAGCCTGTAGGCGCAAATGAGGCCTAGGGATGGGGCTTGGAAAGAAAGACTCCCATGTATCTACCCACATCTTGTGGAGGGGTGTCACTGAGTCTCCCCCTTATCCTTCCATCCTGGTATCCCTGATGACCTGGAATCTTGGCCTTCAGTCTCTACCTGTCCACCCTCCCTCGCACCTCCCTATTCGATTCCCAGGCTCCCTGGGCTCTGAGGGCCATGGAGGTTGCATCCAGCTCTACTCTGAGGTAATTGGTCCTGACTTTGCCTGCCATGGATTAACCCACTCCAAAGCCCAGGGCACACCCCGGGCTCCCGGATAACAGATCTCACAAGGCTGGGATTCCTTCTGACGGACCCATCAGGAGACCCCTGCTTCCCTTCTCAGGCAGTGAGGCAGATCTGTCTTGGATGGGGGAGCTGTCGGCCCCAGTGGGGACCCAGGGGGAATGTTGGAGGGAGGCCGGGCTGACTTTCTAGACTCAGGAGGACACCATAACCTCCTAGACACCTGTTCTCTAGGACTTGGGCAAAGTTGCCCTGCACGGTCCCAGCTCCTGTCCCTCGTCCCTTAGGGGACACTGCCTGTATGTGTGGGGGTCTGGCTGGGTTCAGGGATGGTGGAGGTAAGGAGGAGGGAGATTAAGGGGGTCTCACCATGAGTTGCTGGTCCTTGGAGTCCCCACCGTCCTTCATGCTTGCGGAGGGTGGCGGGGCTCAGGCCGGGACAGAGGGCCTGGCCCAGCCGTACCCCCACCTCGGTCTGGCTGGGTCGCTCTTGGCCGCTGCTGCTGCCTGACAACCCGAAACCAACAACGCGCCCGCGGCCCGGGGAGCTGACCAGGAGGCGGGGCCCCGCCCCCGCGCCCCGCGAGGCCACGCCCCGAGCGGCGAGACCACGCCCCGGACCCGGCGAGGCCACGCCCTTGTGTGAGCGAAAGCCGGGTCCCCTACCCGCGAGACCCCGCCCCGAATGCTCGCTGAGCCTGGTGGTGCGCAGGCCCAGGGCCCCAAGCCCAGTGAGTCCGCCGGCGTCCGTTTGCTTAGTCCCTGAGCTCCTGCTCACGCTCCCTGGGCCCCGGGCTGCCCCCGCTGAGCACCTGGGCGTCCTTGGGCCCACCTCGCTGCCCCCGCCCCTCAGGCCGCGATCATCTACTGTTTGCTGCCTCCAGGGCGCGGCTGGCGCCTCCCGTCTCCATGCGCGCCGCGGGCATCGCAGGGGTGGCCCGTGCCCCGCTCCAGGCGCAGGGGAGGTGGGCAGGCCGGGCGAAGGGCTGTCCCTGGCCACGGGGGCAGCGCTGGCTCCGCCCCTCGGTGCTCCCCACTACCGCACGAAGCCTCAGGCTCACACCCAGAGTCCAGGCCTTAGGTGGACAGGCCGGGACCTGGCCCTCGTCTGGCTTCCTGCCTACTGGAGGAGTCCAACCCTGGGCAAGGAAGTCAGACGCAGCGTGCTCCATTCCTGGTGACAATGGCAACGATGACACACACTCAGGGCGCACAGTGGAAAAGCTTCCTGGCCTCAGGAGGCCCCAGGAAAACAGGATTGCAGCCCCGGCCCTCGGCCTCTGGGAGCTCTGCTTTCCTGCTGCCTCCTGGCCCATTTCCTAGATGATGTGGTGGGGCGGGCAGGGGGAGGGGGTTCTCTGATACTGGTGGTTGGTCTTGGGTGTCATCTGTCCCTCACTGAAGCAGAGCCCAGAAGCCCCTGCACAGACCAGAGAGGAGGTCTTGATTGGGGGAACGGTGTCATTTCCCAGGGAAGAAGCTGGGAAAGATAGCTATCACATCCCTCGGGGCCGTCTCAGATGGCCCGCTGGCACCCAGAGGCAGAGTGTAGTGCCAGCCTGGGCCCTGGGACTGGCTTCCTGGGCTGCCCCTGAGGAACCTGTGTTAGTATAGCTATTAATAAACAGAAGCAGGAAGCAGCTGGTGGCCTCAGGTTTGAGAAATACATAGACCAACTAAAAGGTTCTGTAGAAACAGAATCCTGTTTGGAGGACCAGGAGTCACCAGACTTTCTGCTGTTCTCTGGTTCAGGCTGCTCTCTGGCGCTGGCAGATTTCAAAGGGGCATGCTACCCCAGGAACTAGGTATAGTTACAAGTTGTGCCATGCTTTTATGTGTTTTGTTTTTGGTGCCAGTACTGGCACGTGAACTCAGTCTGTGCTCTAACTTGGCTTTTTTGCTTAAAGCTGGTACTCTGTGAGCCCCTTGACACCTCCACTTCTGTTTTTTTGTTTTTGCTTTTGGGTTGTTTTTGTGTGTGTGTGTGTGTGGCTAATTGGAGATAAAAGTGTTACATATTGTTCTGCCCAGGCTGGCTTTTTTTTTTTTTTTTTTGGGTCTGGCTGTGGGCCTGAACTCTGGGCCTGGGTGCTGTCCCTCAGCTCTTCAGCTCAAGGCTAGCACTCTACCACTTGAGCCACAGTGCCATTTCCGGCTTTTTTCTTTTTATGTGGTGCTGAGAAATTGAACCCAGGGCCTCAGGCATGCAAGGCAAGCGTTCTACCACTGAGCCACCTTCCCAGCCCCCCAGGCTGGCTTTTAATTAGGATCCTCAGAGTTGAGCCTCCTGAGTAGCTAAGATTATAGATGTGAGTTGTCATCGCCAGCCTCATGCTTCAGTTCTAGATCCCTGAACTGACTCTTATTTGGATAAGTCATGGAAGCCCCTGGTCAAATAGGCTATATTGGTAATTTTTTTTCCTTTATAAAAAAATTCCTCCATGTGCATAAATCCTACCCAGAATATGCTAGGAAGATTAATGGGTAGTATAAGCAGCTTTTAGGAAAGATTGCTAGAGTTTTATTACTTGAGCTGCTCTTTCTCCACAGCTTTTTGTTGTAGTATATTTTTAATCATTGTGTATGTGAGAGAGAGGGAGAGAGAATGTGTGTGTGTGTGTGTGTGTGTGTGTGTGTGTGTGTGTGTGTGTGTGTGTTGGTGCTGAGGCTTGAACTCAAGGCCTGGGCAGTGTCCTTGAGCTTTTTCACTCATGGTTGTCACTCTACCCCTTGAGATACACAGCTCTACTTCTGGCTTTTTTTGGTGGTTTCATGAAGCCTTCTTGCCTGTGGTCTCTAACTTACTTCTGTCTCGTTTCTCTCCATTCTCCATGTCAGACCCTCCTCTCCTCCTCCACAAAACTGCTTACACTCTTCCAGGGCCATCCACTTTCCGAGGGAGACACACGAGCGCTGGGCGCTGGGTACACGCTGCCCACACACGTGCTCTGGAATGTGCTCACTCAGCCTGCCCCGCTGCTTCTGTCCCGCCTCTCTGTCCCCACTGCACTGCCTGACCTCAGTCTCACTTCTCAATGACGCCAGCAGCTTGCTGGGCCTCTCTATCTCCTTTTCTCTCTTCCCATCACTTCCCACAGCCTTTTGGTTCTAAAGGCAGCACTATTGTAACCTCCCTGGAAATCCTGTGGCTCCCCATTGCCTTCCAAAATGGAGTCTCCCCTTTACCTAGCATCTGGACCGCCCGCCCCCCTTCCAGCTTCCCTATCCCCCACCTCTGCTGTGGTCAGGCTCAGCCATAGCTGTCTTTTAGGCAAGTTCCTGCCGCTCTGTCCTGGAGATCCCTCTTGCCTGCAAGTCTAGTCAAAGTGACTCAATGTGTCCCCCACCTCACCCCCACTCTTAGGACACCAGGGATAATAGCCTGGGTTCTTCCTAATACTTTTATTTCTTGAGACAAGGTCTTGTTATGTGTAGCCCTGCCTTGGCTCCATATATGCTAGGATTACAGGCATGTGCCACCACATACATGCCTCTGTGTGTGTGTGTGCATGTGTGCGTGTGTGTGTGTGTGCTGGTACTGGGGCTTGAACTCAGGGATTCTCACCTTTGCTTGGATTTTTTGTGCAAGGCTAGTACTCTACCACTTGAGCCACAAGCTCCACTTCTGGCTTTTTGGTGGTTAATTAGAGTTAAGAATCTCACAGATTATTCTGACCAGTCTGGTTTTGAACCTCAATCCTTACATCTCAGCTTTCTGAACAGACATGGTTACAGGCATGAGCCACTGGTGCCTGGCCATTGTTACAGCTATTTGTATTTACTTCTTTTTGTGCCAGTCCTGGGGCTTGAACTCAGGGTCTAGGCATTGTCCTTTTGCTGTTTTTTGCTCAAGGCTCTCCTACTTGAGCCACAGCTCTACTTCTGGTATTTTTGGTAGTTAATTGATGATGTCTCTTGAGCTTTGCTGCATGAGCTGACTTCAAACTGGGATCCTTAGATCTCAGCCTCCTGAGTAGCTAGGATTACGGACGTGAGCCACTGATGCTCAGCCATTATAGCTATTTTTATTTTTGCCAGTCCTAGGGACTGAACTCAGGGCCTAGGCACTGTCCTTGAGCTTCTTTTGCTCAAGACTAGCACTCTACCACTTGAGCCACAGCTCTACTTTTGGATTTTCTGTGTATTTGGTACTGAGGAATTGAACCCAGGCTTTATATATGCTAGGCAAGCACTCTACCACTAAACCACATTCCCAGCCCAATTACAGCTATTTTCTTCTTTTTTCTCTTTCTTTCTTTCTATCTTTCTTTCATTGATCATGGGACTTGAACTCTGTGTCTGGGCACTGTCTCTCAGCTCTTCAGCTCAAGGCTAGCACTCTACCACTTGAGCCACAGCGTCACTTCTGGCTTTTTCTGTTTATGTGGTGCTGAGGAATCGAACCCAGGGCCTCATGCATGCAAGGCAAGCACTCTGCCACTGAGCCATCTTCCCGGCCAGATTACAGCTATTTTTAAAGAGTGCTTTGGATCTTTGCCAAGGTCCGCTGACCACCACAGAATTAATTAATGACAGTCGGGGACTTCTCCAGGTACAATGTTGGCTCTGAGATGCCTTCCTTCCCCCTACCTACTGCTCTACTGAGTGTGGCTTGAGGGCATGCCCATGGCTGTCCACCCATTGTCCACCTGGAGGCCCAGCAGCCCTGAGCAACTGCCTCCCGGGGTGGGGAGTCAACTCCTGGGCTCCCATCCAGTCTGCCCCTCACTAACCCTGTGGCTGAGGGCCAGTCTCTGCACCTCGCCTGCAGCCTCCCATTGTCTTCTCTGCAGCATAAAGACAGTTGTAGCAAGAACCTTCCAGAAGATTCGAAAGAATTACACGAGCACCTTCAAAAAGCATTCAGGGCAGGACACGTAACCAGCACTGTTGACAGGGTGATTATTGATTTAGTTTTTACAAGAAGTACGGTAATAAAACATGCGCGTGTATGAGGTCATTCAGCCCCCACCCCTCCTACTCCTACACATTCCACAGGGGACCTCGGATACGGTGGTGAGCCAAAATGCTGAGAGGGTTGCTTAGAAAGGCCTCTATAGACATGGGCAGTTTTCCTGGTCAGCAGGTAGATGGAGGGGAATCGAAAGCAGGGAGGAGGAACCCTTCTTCCCCCTCTGCAGGAGTTTCTGAGAGCTGGCCATGGCTGGTGCCAGTCCATCGGAGCTCGCACACCTCTGAAGGTAGATGATTGTTGGGGAACGGATGAGAAACAGACTCTAAGGAAATACCTTGGACCAGACCTGAGGCTGTGCACCCTAACCTGGAGTGAGCGTCAGGGCGGCCGAGGCAGGGGGAGCTGGCCTAGGAACAAGCCCTGTGGCTCTGTATCTTTCCTCCCTACAAAGGGGTGTTCAGGGCCCCAGTGCACCCCCACTATGATGCTTTAAGGGAGATGCTCAGCTCCCCACTGTAAGACCAGGGAAATGCCAAGAAGGGGGTGAGGAGTGGACCCTGCGGGCGGCGCTGCGGTGGCCACCTAGGCTGGGGACTCTTCGCTGCTCTTAACTTCCTCCCCTGCTTCCTCCTCTACCACCTCTTCTTCTGCCTCCAAGATTAGTGGCTTCTGAGGAAAGAGCAGAGAAAAGTTGGAAACAGTCAAAAGCAGCCAACTTGTAGGGGGTGTGGAGGAGGTGGGCAGGGCCAGGAGCATCTGCCAGGAATCTCCCTTCTGTCATGTACAGCTTGAGCAGTCTGGAGCCTGTTCCTCCTGGGTACCTTGGCACCATCATCTGTAATGTGGACCTGGCACCCTGAAGGCCTGGGCTAACATCAGACACAGAGCGTGAGAAGCCAGCACAGAGAGCAAGGCCTCAGTCCTGGGAGATGCTCTCTGACCTCAGAATTTTGAGCCAACTGATGAGACTAAGCAAGAGAGGAGGAAGCTGGGCACCAGTGGTTCACGCCTGTAATCCTAGCTACTCAGGAGGCTGAGATCTGAGGATCATCATTCAAAGCCAGCCTGAGCAGGAAAAGTGTGAAACTGTGTGTGTGTGTGTGTGTGTGTGTGTGCGCGCGCGTGCGCTGGTCCTAGGGCTTGAACTCAGGACCTGGGTACTGTCCCTGAGCTATTTTTTGCTCAAAGCTAGTGCTCTACCACTTGAGCCACTGCTCTACTTAAGGTAAGAGTCTCATAGCCTTTCCTGCCCAGGTTGGTTTTGAACCTTGATCCTCAGCTCTCAGCCTCCTGAGTACTTAGATGCCCAGCCAGATGCCATCTTTACAGCTCAATCTCCTCATTTTCCCAGATGGAAACTAAGGGACCAGGAAGTAAAGCAATTAGCTCAGGCAACAGAGGGAAAAAAAAAAGTGTTTTAGAGCTGGGGCAGAGGGCAAAGGCACAATTCACGCTTCTGACACCAGACCAGCACACCCAATAAGAATGGCAGCCCTTGCTGGGCGCTGGTGGCTCATGCCCCTAATCCTAGCTACTCAGGAGGCTGAGATCTAAGGATTGCGGTTCAAAGCCAACCTGGGCAGGAAAGTCCGTGAGACTCTTATCTCCAATAAACCACTAGAAAACCGGAAGTGGTGCTGTGGCTCAGGCGGTAGAGTACTCACCTTGAGCTGAAGAGTGCAGGGACAGTGCCCAAGCCCAGAGTTCAAGCCCCACGACCAACCAAAAAAAAAAAAAGAAAGAAAGGAAGAATGGCAGCCCTTTACTCCATGGGACTCAAGGCTCCAGCTCCTTGGATAACTCATGGATCCTAGGTAGCTCAGCACCCATGTTCAAGGTCCATGGTGGGGAGGGAGTAGGCCAGGAGGTACAGAGAAAGGCTCCTGCCCTGGTCTGATTGGAGAAACTGTTCCTCAGGAGGCAGGAAGTCCTCTCACTTGTCCGATGGACAAATGAAGGTCCAATCAGGAAGGAACAGCAAGCAGGCGTGACTCAGGTCCTGCCTCCCCCACCTAGGCCCTAGTGGAGGCCCTTACAAGCTTTGCCTTCTTCTTCTTTGGACAGTCCTGGGGCTTGAATTCAGGGTCTGGACACTGTCCCTGAGCCTCTTTGTGCTCAAGGCTAGTGCTCTAGCACTTAAGCCTCAGCACCACTTCCAGCCTTTTCTGTTTATGTGGTACTGAGGAATCGAACCCAGGACTTCATGTGTGCTAGGCAAACACTCTACCACTAAGCCACATTCCCAGCCCTTGCCTTCTTCTTCATGGCCTCCACCTCCTTCCTCCTCATCTCTGACTGGATGACACTGAGGAACTCCTCTTCAGCCGTGATGACCAGTTCATCCAAGTTTACGCCCATCTCTTCATCCTTGTGGTCATCATCCTTGCTCTCGGCTTTGCCTTTCTCCTTCAGCCGCATCTCTCGTTGCCTGGCTTCCAGAATCTTCTCTCGCCGGGTCTCCCGCTCAAACATCTGGGACACACAAGGACAGCGTCTGGTAGGAAAGGGTAGGCAGCTGGCAATGCCAGCTCAGGGCCAGATATCTGCACACAGGGTTAAAGCCAAGGACGCAGGGCTAGTTGGGTGCTGGTGGCTCACACCTGTAACCTCAGCTACTTAGGAGGATGAGGTCTAAGGATCATGGTTCCAAGCCAGCCTTGGCAGGAAAGCCTGAAGTGGAGCTGTGGCTCAAGTGATAGAGTACTAACCTTGGGTGGAAAGGGCAAATGGACAGTGCCCAGACCTTGAGTTCAAGCCCTGGTACTCGCAGACAGACAGACAGACAGACAGACAGACAGAGGAGAGGAGAGGAGGCTGACTAAACACTGGTCCTGGAGGACTGGAGCAGGGATGTAGTTATTCTCTTTCAGGGAGCATGGGGTACACAGGTTACAAGGTAAAGACTGTCCTTTGGACCCTGAGCCCTATGGAGGCCCAGCACAGTGGTAAGACCCTTGTCTGCAGCAGAACCAGGATGCTCTCCCAGGACCAGGCCTGCATCCCTGCTGCTGGGGAGTGCACTCAGGGTTGGGAGACGCAGTCATGAATGCGGTGTCCCTGAAGTTACTTCCATCCGTCTTCTGTATTGAATGGCCCTGCTGTTGAAACCTTCTATTGTTTGGAATTAGCCACATGGACCCAGTCAAAAAGACTTTGATTTACAACCAGGAAATGGAGGCCCTGGGAGGCAAAGGCTTTGGCCTGGGCCCCAGAGCCACACAGGGGCTGAGGCAGGCCAGGTGGACCCCATGCTGCCCCCTGGAGAAGGGAGGTGGGAACATGCCTTCCTCATTGCTGTTCTAGGTGCCGAACTGCTCACACAGGGCCCTCACCTGGGCACCTAGCACTTACGGAGGAAGCTATGTTCTTCTCGTTCCTCTGGAGGGTGGAGAGTCCGCTGGAAACTTCCAGAAGAGTGGTTGTCCCCAGCTGGGAGCCACAGGCAATGAGACACCCATTGTCCTGCACCCGGAGGCAGAACAGGGCCTCGTCGCACACCTGCTGGGAGGACAGCGCGGGTCAGGAAGAGGAGGAGGAGGAGCACGAACCCCTCCGCGTGGTTACCTGACTCCGGGGAGCTTCGCCTTCCCCCCCACGCAGCACCCATGGTGACCTCCACTGCCTGATGCGGTGACATTTGTTGGGAGACTGTCAAGATCTTTGGTCTCTGCTGGGCACAGGTAGCTCACACCTGTAATCCTAGCTACTCAGGAGGCTGAGATCTGAGGATCAGGGGTCAAAGCCAGCCCAGGCAGGAAAGTCTGTGAGACTCATCTCCAATGAAGTATCCCAAAAATCAGGAAGCGGGGCCATGGCTCCAACGGTAGAGCACAAGCCTAGTGCAAAAGAATTAAATCCAAGAAGGATGGGGGGGGGTGCACGTGACCTTCAGGCTGAGGGCGGGGTCACACTGCTTGAACACAATGTCCCAGATGTCCAGGGTCCCGTCCATCTTGGTAGTGAAAAAAACTGCCGGCCTCACAGGGCTCCAGGCTCCGTCGGTGAGGTAAGCCATGTGGTATCTGGGGGAAGGGGAGGTAGTGCCATGAGTCAGGGTCTGTCCTGGGGAGGGATGGAGAGCCTGCTGGGAGCTACATACAGCTCCCCTCACCCCAGGCCCTCTTGGGCTCCAAGGCCTCAGAGTCTTTTCTGGGCTGGAAGTTCTTCCTCGGGTCTAACTTGTAGCATGAAAGTCTTTCAAATCCACAGCTCACAGGCTGCTCCTGATAGGGCTATGGGGATGGTCAGGTGTGGATCCTTCTCAGCTAACAAGGCCACAGGCACACCTGTACAGCTGTACCTGAACCCTGTCATGGAGCCATACATAGGTATGGTCAGAGAAAGGGCAGGAAGGAAGTCACAATTCTGAGATCCCAGGAAGGCTATACTTCCTATCTACTTGCTTTGGATTTCCTCAACTCTTATTAGTGAACATAGAATTTAAATAAAGAAAACTAGCCGGGCACTGGCAGCTCACATGGGTAAGCCTAGTTACTGAGGAGGCTAAGATCTGAGGATCATGGTTCAAAGCTCAGCCCAGGCAGGAGAAAGTCCATGAGATTCTTATGTCCAATTAACCAGCAAAAAGCTGCAAGTAGAGGTATGTCTCAATGGTAGAAAGCCAGCCTTGAGTGAAAAAATTTAGGGATAGCACCAGGCTTGAGTTCAAGACCTAGAATTGGCACACATGCGCACACACACATACACACAAAGTAAAAACAAAAATAAAATTTTAAACAAAATAAATCCTCCACGTACACACATGTACATATATTTACACATATGTGCACACATGGTAGAGAGTTCAAGTCTTCCGCTCAACCCCATTCTCCCTTCCTGCACAGTGTTACAACTCCAGCTGTGTTGTGTTGACCATGGCTGAGACGACATTTCCGAACCATGTGCGCAGTGGTGTGCAAACAACCAGGCTACAGCTAAAAATGATCATGATAAAAGAAACACTGGAGATTTCTGACAAGCAATGAATAATTGTGAGGGCAAATATATTCCAAATGTTTCAGGGGACATGTTTAAACTTAAAAAAAAATGATTCATTGTTTTTACTGACATTTAAACCTCACTGGAATTCTGGTTTGGTTTTGTTGTTGTTTGTTGGATTTTGTGACAGACCTGGGGCTTGAACTCAGGGCCTAGGCACTGTTTCTGAGCTCTTTTGCTCAAGGCTACCTACCATTTTGAGTCACAGCTCCACTTCCAGTTTTCTAGTGGCTCATTGGAGATAAGAGTCTCACAGACTTTCCTGCCTGGACTGGCTTTGAACCCTGATCCTCAGATCCTAACCTCCTGAGTAGCTAGGATTATAGGTGTGAGCCACCAGCACCCAGCTTCTGTCTTTTTTATTTCCTCATTTTATTTCCCAAGCCTTGAACTCTGGTCCTGGGCACTGTCTCAGAGCAAGGCTAGGCACTCTACCACTTGAGTCACAGCGCCATTTCCAGCTTTTTCTGTGATTTAATTGGAGATAAGAGTCTCACAGACTTTCCTGCCAGGGCTGGCTTTGAACCACAATCCTCAGATCTATTGCCTGAGTAGTTAGGATTACAGGTGTGAAGCACCAGCTTCTGGCTTTATATGCTAAATTCTATCAGCAGACAGGTCTCTGAAGTGGCCCCTTGGTCCCCTCCCCTCACTACACCCCATCCCGTCCCTGGCACCCCACCCCTACTCACTTGGTCCACATAATGGACGACTCCCGGCTATCTTCGGACCAGATTCGGGCTGTCCAGTCACCGACGGTCAGGAAGTTCTTGGGGTAGAAGGGGTTCCTCTGGAGGGCGTAGATGGGGCCATGGTGGCCGGAGAAGGTACACACGATCTTCTCCGCGGGGGTCTTGGCCTTGCGGTTGCAGGAAATGACGATCCCCTGCTCGGTGCCCACCATGAACTTGGTTGGCTGTGGAAAGGGTGATGCGCATGGAAGGTGCCATGAGACATGAACTCAGGGTGGGCTGGTACCAGGCTCTGCCACTATTCCCAGGATCCTGGGCCTCAGGTTGCTCAGGCAGGTGTTCTGCCCCTAGAAGCTGTCCCTGCCCTTCCCAGCCTCCTTAGCTCTCCCTCTGGGGAACCTGCTTGACAATCCTATGCTTAATGAAGCCCTCCCTGGCTCTTCCTGTCCCCAGAGACTAGCTAGTGTCCAGTAAGCAATTAGCCAGAAGGATCCTGGAATGTGTGCAGATAGATAAAAGAAAGAAAGCCCAGAGTGGAGTGGGGGGGGGAGGAGGAGGGGGGCAGCCTGATCACTCAGAGGTAGTCAGAAGCCAATAATCCTAGCTATTTAGGAGATTCCCATCTGAGGACCAAGATTCAAAGCCAGCCTTGGCAGGAAAGTCCATAGGACTCTTATTTTCAATTAACCAGTAAAAAGCCAGAAGTGGAGTTATAGCTCAAGTGGTAGAGTGCTAGCTGTGAGTAGAAAAGTTAAGGACAGTGCCCAGGCCCTAGGACTTCAAGCCCTAGAATTGGCACACAAATTAATAGAGCCAGTTGCTGGTGGCTTGCACCTGTAATCCTAATGACTCCAGAGGCTGAGATCTGAGGATCGCAGTTCAGAGCAATCCGGGCCAAGAAAGTCAGAGAGACTCCTATCACCAATTAATCACCAGAAAATGGGAAGTAGCACTGTGGCTCAAAGTGGTAAAGCAAAAAAGCTCAGGGAGAGCACTCAGGCCCTGAGTTCAAGCCTCACAACTGACAGATAGATAGATAGATAGACAGACAGACAGACAGACAGACAGACAGACAGACAGACAGACAGACAGACAGATAGATAGATAGATAGATAGATAGATAGATAGATAGATAGATAGATGGGCGGGCAGGTAGGCAGGCAGGCAGGCAGGCAGGCAGGCAGGCAGGCAGACAGACAGACAGACAGACAGACAGACAGACAGATCCTGTTCAGTTTAAGACTATCCTCTGTTCCACTGGGAGAATGGTGGCCTTCCTCAAGAAGCTCTGCTGCCCCCTGCTGGAAGGTTGCTATAAAGCCCACAGAGGAGGGACTCAGCCATGAAGGCCCTTTGAGGGCCTGGCTGGGGCAGAGTGTAGGTGGGGAACAGGTATCCAGACAAAGGGAATCGAGGAAGGCAGAACAAGAAACACTCACCAACGTAGACTCGAACTCCAGGGAGATGGCACCCAGGGCATTTTCCAGATTCTCCTTTCTGGTGATATCCATGATCACAACCTCAGTGGGCTCACTTATCTTTCGGATGTCCCACCACATGACCTGGCAAGGAGGGCAACTCTGAGGCCTCGAGGTCTCTTTGCCCCCTGTCTGACTTCCCAAGGCACAAGGATGTGGGTACCATGAGCAAACAACCCTCTGAGACCCGCTGCTGTGGGCCACAGGTCCCAGACCGTCAGTAACAATGACTAGCTGCAAAAAGAAAAATCCCGATGCCGTGGCCTCACCCCAGCCTTGCCAGGTGTGGGCCCAAGAATCTGCATTCTTCAGGGCTCCTCACATGCAGTGTGGCAAAAAGCAGACTTAGGATGTGACTCTGTAATGAATGCTGCAGAAAAATATGCGCCTGTGTGAGAAACTCCAGGTATCGACATAGTCTTCTGCTACGCATTTTCCCATAACCACAAAATGTAAGATCCGCTTAAATAAATTACGAGGTAGCTGGACCCTCCTGACCCTGGAGGCAGGGGGCAACGATTTATGACGTGTGAGACCAACTCCGAAGGCAGAGCTGGAAACTAGCGCCCTGGGGAGGGGCTGGGGTTGTGAACACAAGACGCGGGCAGGATTTCCTGGACTGTCTTTTTGTCTGTTTGAGGTTTGGTTTGTGTGCACATTATTATGCTATTAGGCTAAAGGGCTGGAGGAGGTTGGTATAGCTCAGTGGTAGGAGTGCGTGCTTAGCATGATTGAAGCCCTAAGTTTGATTCCCAGAACTGCAAAATAAAATAAGATACAAAGAAACATCCTCTGGGTGATGATGATGATGATGATGATGTGTGTGTGTGTGTGTCTGTCTGTCTGTCTGTCTGTCTGTCGGTGTCTGTATGTGTGTCTCTGTGTGTAATTGGAAGTAAGTCTCATGGACTTTCTTGCCCTGGCTGGCTCTAAACCAGTATTTTCAGATCTCAGCCTCCTGAGTAGCTAGATTACAGGCATTAACCCCTGATGCCTGGATGGATTTTTTTTTAATGCACTGCTGAGGATTGAACCCAGGGCCATGCACATGCTCAATGCTGAGGCTTGAACCCAGGACCTTGCACATGCACAGTGCTCAGTGCTGAAGATTGAACCCAGAACCTTGCACGTGCACAGTGCTGAGCCTTGCACATGTTCAGTGCTGAAGATTAAACTCAGGGCCTTGCACAGTGCTCAGTGCTGAAGACTGAACCCAGGGCCTTGCACATGCTAGACCAGTGCTTACACCCCCAGGCCCCTGGGTGATTCTGAGGGGCAGCAGGGAACCGTGTGTGTGAGCCCTGCCCTCTTCCCCGGGCCTGGCCAGCTGGTACCTGCCCATCTGTGGAAGCCGAGAAACATTCAGTGCCCGTCTTCGACTGCAGCCAGATACTGCCGTACACAGGATCTCGGTGGCTAAACTCGATGGTGGACAGCTCTGCCACCAGGCTGCCCTTGCGTGTGTCCCAGAAGGCTGGTGAGAGGGAAGCAAGCGGAGGTGAGGGAGATGCAGGCTTCCCTCCCTCAGGGGGAGAGCAGGGCTGCATGGCTGGCCTCTCTAGTTTTAGCAAGTATGTGGATTCCCAAACCAAAGCTAGGTCCTGCTGGATGCTAGTGGCTCACACTTGTAATCCTAGCTACTCAGGAGGCTGAGATCTGAAGATTATCGTTCAAAGCCAGCCTGGGCAGTAAAATCTGTGTGATTCTTATTTCCAATTCACCAGCAAAAAGCTGGAAGTAAAGGTGTGGCTTAAGTGGTTGGAGCACCAGCCTTGAGTGGAAAAACTAAGGGAGATCGAGAGGCCTTGAGTTCAAGCCCCAGATACTGGCATAATAGAGGCTAAGTTCCAATCAGCTTTGAGTTTTCTAAATCTCTGGAAGAGATCCATGGGGTGCATCTAGAAAAGATCCATGGAGTGCAAGCCTTACTCAGTGTGTTGTGTCCCTACTGTGTGCTGAGTGTGGCCTGCCACGGTGGGGAAGCCTCTGGGAATAGACTGGCCAGTCCCAGGGGAGGTGGAAGGGGACTTGCATGATGCCCAGACCTTGATGGCTACCATAGAAAGAAATGGACAGGGTGCTCCGGCAGGCCTTGGGCATGAACTGACAGGGAGCTAAGATGGAGGGCGGGCCTGTGGCGGAACAGGCCAGGTAGAGGAGTACAGCCAGGCTCTACTTAGGCTAAAAGCACACCGAGAAGCCCTGGTCAGAAGATGTGGGCAAATAGAATACAATTGATATGAGCTTCTAGACCTTTCTTTGCTGCCTCCAGAGAGCAACTCAAAGGATCTTGCCTCTACTGTGACTGTGCAGGGTGCTTTGCCCACAAAGCCGAGGCCTGTCTGCTTTCTGTCCTCGTGGATGGATTCGGTTTTCATTTCCCTGCGCCTGTGCACGGGTGTGCGTGCACCCAGGACCTGCCCTCTTACTCTGCCCATTCTGCTTTTGCAGAAGATCAAAAGCAGCAGAAACTTCGACTTAAGACCCCTTAAGATGGAAGCCTTAGTCAGGCACCGATGGCTCACTCCTGTAATCCGAGCTACTCAGGAAGTTGAGATCTGAGGATGGAGGTTCGAAGCCAGCCTGGGCAGGAAAGTCTGTGAGACTCTTATCTCTAACTAGCAAAAAGCTGGAGGCGGAGCTGTGGTTCAATGGGCAGATTGCCAGCCTTGAGCATATAAAGCTCAGGAACAGTGCCAAGGCCCTGAGTTCAAGCCCTAAGACCAGCACACACACACACACACACACACACACACACACACACACACACAGAGGTCTGGCCTGTGCTTTCTTGCTTGGCATGCTTCGGCATGGCAGCCCCTTGGGGTCCTGTGCCCTCAGGTACCCTCCCAGCCCCTTCCTCCGGCAGCACAGCTCCAGAGCCTAGGCTGCACTGAGCACTGAGTGGGACATGAATAATGAGTAAGGCCAGGCTCCTGAATAAATCATGGCAGCGCCGCTCTGCTCTGGTCTTTCTGGAGTTCCGGCACCCAGATATTTGGCAGGGAAACTGACAGGAACCCTGGTCTGTTCCACGGCCTCTGCTTCTCAGGGAGGAGGCTGCAGCTCTGAGGCGGAGGCCAAAGGCCTTAGAAGACCTGCCCAGCCTGGCCCAGCGCATATGCTCCTTTCCTCCCCTCCTCTCTGACGTCCAAAACCATCCAGGTCTCCCCATGCATCTCCCAAGATGGGGTTCCATAGTGCTCCCACTATCCCTTAGACTTGGTCCCTAGTATATTTGGGTTTGAACTCAGGGCCTTATTCTAGCTGGGCAGGGACTCTCCTGCTTGAGTCATGTCCTTCTCAACTCGCTTTGCGCTGGGGATTTGAACTTTGCACTTGTTCAACTTGTTTGCTCAACTGGTGCTCCATGTCTCCAGTCTGGCTTTTTGCTGGTTCTTTAGGAGATGGAGTCCAGCAGGCTTTTCTGCCTGAGTTGGCTTTGAAGTATGATCCTCTGCACCTCAGCCTTCTGAGTAGCTAGGATTCCAGGTGTGCGGCACCACACTCGTCAGCTGGGATTACTATTATTATTTTACATGATTATTACAAAATTGGTGCACAGAAATGTACTATTTTGTAAGTCAGGTAAAGAGTGCATTTCTTTTTGGACAACGTCACTCCTTCCTTCCCTAGCTCTGATTATATTTGAGGTAAGAGTCTCATTCCCCCTCCCATCCCCCCTCATCCCTCCCCCTCCCCAAGTAGCAGGGATGGCAGGCCTCATAAGTTACTCTGAGCTTTTTCTGTGGAGACAGAGGCTTGGAATGGCCTCTAACCTCGATCCTCCTCATCTCCCGTCTTCCGAACAGCTAGGATTATAGACCTGAGGCTCAGTACCCAGTCTTGATAGTTGTTAAAAGCCTTTTTATTTTGTGCTAATATTAGACTTACTTAGAGTGATCACACCATGGCTAGTTATTGGCTGAGAGCCGGGGTCCCTCCTTACCTATCTGCCCATTGTAACAGCCCCCCAGGAGCACGTGGGTGTCTTTGGGGTTGTACTCCAAGGTGACGAGCGGAGAGGAGGGCTTCAAGGCAATCTCAGGCCTATTGGGGTTTTCTATAGAATGGGAAGAAAAAAAAGTCACATCAGGCTGGAACAGAAAAGACAGGGTCAACTGGTTTAACCTCTACAGGTGGGGGTGGCGAAGGAGCCAGGATCCCCTCTTCTACCTCCTTGGCTCTGTCCCTACCCTCTTTTTTTTTGGCAAGGGGGGGTTACCTGTACTAGGACTTGAACTCAGGGCCTCAGGCTCAAGCCTGGTGCTCTACCATTTGAGCCACAGCTCTAGATCTGGTTCTTTGCTGAAGATAAGAGTCTCAAGGATGGGCTGGGAAGGCGGCTCAAGTGGTGGAGTGCTCGCCTTGCATGCATGAGGCCCTGGGTTTGATTCCTCAGCATCACATAAGCAGTAAAAACTGGAAGGGGCGCTGTGGCTCAAGTGGTAGAGCGCTCGCCTTGAGCTGAATTGCTGAGGGACAGAGCCCAGGCCCAGAGTTCAGGCCCCATGACTGA